AAATAAAATTGTTCTCAATTTTATATCACGAAATTTAATATAAATAATGAACTATGTTTGTCAACAATTTCGTTTGTTTTTTTTTGAACATTTTAGATTACCTATTAAACTATTTAAGTATATAAATATGAAGTTATAAGAAAAAATTATTTACCTCTTGTAAATTAGGTACTTCAATGAAAAGTATTAATTGATATTAAACTAAACTTTAGAGAACCATAGTTAATAACCTAGCGAACCAAAATTGATCATTTGACTGTCAAAATGTTCATACAAAAATCACTACCACTGGAATCCATAAAAAAAAAAAATTCAATTTTACAACTGCGCGTTTAAACATTTTGAAAATGTTATAAAAAATTGCCTTTTAAAAATAAAAGAACACGTGTCCTTTTTGTTTTAACGAAATTCCATATCATCCATCCATAATTGTTAAAAAGAACCCGCGTACAATGACATAAGATATACACTCTGTATATTTTTTGTATACTAAGTATTACCACTAAGCAGTGTTGTAAAAAATACTTATAAAATAAAGTATTTAAAATACCACCCAAATACTATCTATTGTAAAGTATTTGAGTATTACTCAAATACTTTTTAGAAGTATTTGAAATAATTTTCAAATACAAAACAAAAAAATACGTACGTATACGACATACCTTACCTACCTAATGTTTGTATTATATTTCGCTATGATAATAAACTATATTGGTAGGTAGTATTTACCGAAACGTACCGTTCCAATCGTCGTCGAGTGTCGACGATAAACAGACGGTTTCTCAGAGTAACTAATATTAATTAGCTATTAATAGACGAAAACTAAAACCAATATAGAATTGTTCATAAATGATAAATATATATTATAATATTATTATAATATTATTAAGACATTATTATTATTTGACAATGAATAAAAAGTTGAAGGAATAAAAAAAGTATTCAATAAAATAGTATTCAATAGTAAAAAAATGTATTTAAAATACCGTTCAAATACTTCAAAAATAAAAGTATTTGAATACTTTTACTCAAATACTTTACAACACTGCCACTAAGTGTATAGTGTCCCGGGCCCAATTGATCCTTAATTCGGGCTTGTGTATATAGTTCATAGGCCCTTTCGATTACGGCCCACAGTGAAATTAGTAATTACAGGTAAAATTAACAAATTGTATGCATATTTCATTATGTATATACTATATTACATAACCATAACATACCTATAAACTAATGAACAGCTCATTCCACTCCACCCTGCCATCAATGCATGGGAATCGTATAAGAGAAAGGAGGAAGAAAGAACGAAGAGAGAAAAGAGAGAAGGAACATAAAGTGGGGTAATCATAGATCTATGAAACTAACACTGTATTTCCCCTGCGTTCTCTTTTCTCTTTTACTCTACAGTTACGGTAGCCCTGACGGCTTGACCTCTCTCTCTAAGCGCTGTCCATTAGTTGATAGGTCGTACCTAAGATTTCTGTTATATTTGATAGTAAATATTAATTGTGAAAATTTTAATTTAAATTCTATACTTGCTGATAACCGTCAATGCTTTGGAGCAGGGGTCTCCAAACTACGGCCCTCGAATAAGTTTTAACCGGCCCGCAGCACCCATAGGACGGTAAATAAAATATAGATATCTAAAGATATGTGTAATTTAAAAAGTTGTTATCGAGGTACATTTTATTCGATGGAGCGCACTTAGGCATCGCCAGTTTCAAGATTTTTTGAAAGAAATAGAAATATAGTAGGTACCCAGATATACCGTATTTTACAGCAGTTCGATGGCTTAGGCGAGGAAAAGTCCTATCGCGATTTTTTGAACTAAGAAATGAAATTGAAATATTTCTAATTGATAAGAATCGACCATTGTCTTTACTTACAGATAGTGAATGGGTTTGGAAATTAGCTTTTTTAGTGGTTATCACAAAATATATGAACGACTTCAACCTAAAATTACAAGGTAAAGATGTTCTTGTACTCCAAAGTTTGGAGTTGTGTTTATATAATATGTTATGTGCGTTCTCTATTTTTTTTTTTAAGTTGATTTCCAATCACTGTTGTATTTACAAGGCTTACATGAATTTTTCAACACTATGTTGATTAAAAACGTTTTTGATGAATCAACAAGGAAAATGGAAATGTTAGATTATTTGGACTTGCTTTGATGATGATTCATCGTAATTTAACATTTATAATAGATAAGATTGTCAATATTTAAAAATATATGTATTATATATATAAATTAATTTTACATATTAGCTTGGTCCTATTATAATATAAAAATAAATATTTATAAAATTAAAAAGCGCGATATATATGTCTACTGTTTATGTTCTAATTATAACCAATCGGTTCCCTAAAAAAATCTAGTTATGGCTATGCTTGACTAGTGGTAATTGGCCCATCCTGAATATTTTTCCTATATACGCCACTGACGGGTGATATCACGATTAGGTAAGTGACTATGTGAGTACGAGATTGTTGGTATGTAGTTAATAGACAATAACTAAATCCAATTATTACACTCTTTATTATTCAAGTTTGGTATAATATATTTTTTAGATTTCTTCTATACAATAACAGTGATAATAATTATATGATATAATATTATAGTTGTGTATTCTATATGTATGTAATTAATAATAATGTACCAACATAGAGACAGATTGTTACAGAAATATACACTTCATATTAGTATGGATGTATATATATATATAATAAAGAATACAATTAATAAAGTTAACACAATAGCAATGATAATAATTTTAAAAAAAGAAAATACAGGTCAACTACAATATAAAGTATTTTTCAAACGATAATTATGTAGGTATAGTAAGAAATTATGAAGTTATAAAGGTGTCTAAAGTTATTAATAATAAAAAGTATTTTGATTCTATAAATAAGTAAATAAATAAAATAAAATAAAAATAAAATAAGTAATAGACGATAGTAAAATGTTTTAATATCACAAACTATAATTTATTCCTTTAAGTATAATTAAAATACTTAATTGTTATCAATTACGCGTTATACAAAAAGCGGCCATTCCATACAAATAATAAAAATGACATTTTAATTATTTATTTATCAGTAGATAAACAATTTCGTATTGTGGATTTTGTAAAATACAACGAAATCCAATTTTGATTATGTCGGTATATTTCATAAACTATCGGAATGATTTTTATAACGTAGGTAATAAAAATAAAGATACGATTATGTAATACATAAATATTATAAAGAAGGTTAGTAAATTAATGTTTGCTTTGACTCATTGTGCATTCCCATTCATGTATAAGTGATATTAATTAATTATATTCCTGGAGGAATGAACTATGAAATAAATTGATTTCTTCGTTATTGTCCTACATTTTTTATATCGTCCTACTTATGATACATATTATAGGTAAAAATGTCATAATAATATTTATAACTAATAATAACTAACACTTATAATTTATAATAAAATATTGTAATAGTAACAACAGTTATAATAGATATGATTTTGAATTTTAAATATATTATGTGGTGTTAAAAATACCAATAAAGAGAGAGAAAACTAAAATTGTATATTTTATTTTCTCCATAATAGAGTTCAAGTCATTTTAGAATGTAATTTGTGTTTATATAAAATCGCTCACAACATTTTCTAATTAAATAGGATACGATACTAGACGCTGTCATCCAAATAAAATAAATTGACTATTGTAATTCATGGTGAAATGTTATAGTCAAGGAGTTCCAATATTATTACTAATGAAATCTTTGAAAGATTTTTCTGGAGATGAGTAAATTATTTTTTGTTATTTTTTAGGATATATTTAAAATACAAATAATACAATGGTATTTATTGTTATAAAGATTATTTTCTAATGAAAAGGTGGTCCTTGATGAATATTATTAAAACTAATGTTACTTGGTTAACCTGAAAATAAAATATTTAATAATCATAGTGCCATGAAATCCACGAGCTGGTTTCCGCTTATCATCATGTTGCTGAATAATGACTTGTCAAGAGTCAAGGATACCTAGGAGGCAAATCATATATCAAGACTAAATAGGTAGTAGCACGCTTGATATAAAAATAGAGATCAGAAAATGCCTTACACAGTTACAATATAACGTATCAACTAATAAGTATAAAAGTACTAAATGATAACACTTTGTTTAATAAATATCGAAGAAATCGGTGATACTGTCTTTAAAATATGATAGTTCTTTAATCATAAAATACCTAAAGTGAAACATTTTAATATGTTCTTAACCAAATTATACATATTTTTTCACTTTATAAAAATTAATGGGTATAAGTAATAACAAATTAATAACGTTAGAATATTTTTAAAAAAAGTATCAGTAGAAGTAACTTCTTATTTTCAATTTGGAGGAGAAAAAAGCATGACTGTGAAAATCACTAATGTACCTAATACAAAAGTTGCCACTTAAGGTTTTAAATCCTAACTTAACCTAACCTTACTATTTCTTCTGGCTAATGGCATTTTTAAAGATAAGTGCATGACTACACACTTATAATAAAAATGTGGTGATTAAAATTTCATGTAATGAATGAACAAGTTTTAAAACGTAGATTTTACATAGTAATATAGTATAAAGTATAAACGACTAATGCTATTGTTAGCTAAATTCGTTTTATTTTTTTTTGAAATCATTGATTTAATACCTATTACCTACCAACAAAAAATTATAATAGTAATAACAATAAATAGCCTTTTGATACATTTATAGTCTGTCTAAAATAAGTCTTTATATTTGTTCACTTTTGGTTGATTGTTGTTGATCGGAATATAAATTCAAAATTTAAGTATCTTTAAAGAATCTAATCAAACTAATAAGATTATTACTACTCTTTCTTAATTACTCACTCTTTCTCTTATTATATTTTCACTATTCGACTGACTATTAGTTCAACAATCAGCAGCAGCAACAGTAGTTATTACATCAAGGGTGATGTTACTGCTGCCACGTTGTTGAAAAACTTACTCATCGTCGTCATTATCTCCATCTTCACCATCTCCGTCTTCTTCATCATTCTCTTCTGAGTCATAGTATTCGTCGTCGCTTTCTTCTCCCTCATCATCTTCTTCATTGACTCCTGCTCCATCGTCGTCATCTCGTTCTCTTCTCTTACTGACATTGTTACTCCTGTTATTACTGTTATTAGGAATGGTAAAATTTCCCATGTAGCTGTTAAGCCAACTGATATTTTTTATTCTATTATCACTATAAGCGCCATTAACCTTATTTTTTACTTCTACCATGTCATTCTTGATACTGCTTTCCGAGTTTGGCTGATTGCTATCAATATCGTGTCGACGGTATCTACCACCGGAACTACGATCACCACCCCCACCGCTTTCATTGCTAGTATCGGAATTACTTTTGTCACTGCGCTGGTTTTGCTGGTGCTGTTGGTGTTCTTCCCCCCGTTTCTGCTGTTGCTGGTCCTCTGATTTTTCTTGGTCCCGATTACTGGTCCTCCATCTCCTTCTCCTCCGTTTTCGTAAGCGCCGGTTACGCGTCCTAATGCCTCGGCCTCGATTTCCATCACCTACACTGGTAAAACACTCTGAGGCCAGATATTGTGTGACATGACCGAAAATTGAGTGAAGTAGTTGATGGTGGTTGTCTATGGGAGAACCGTTTTCTATGTCTGTTGCCATTCTTGAGTTACTCAAGTCTGCATCTGGCATTACTAGTTGTGATATCCTAATGGCTCCAACGCGTGTAGGAAATCCCCCAGCGAATCGCCCTCCAGATGTAGTTGAATTATTATTTCGGCGTCCAACACTACTGACAAGTCCAGTAGGTACGAATTGTTGTTGTTGTTGTTGCATGACTCCTCGAACTAGCATCATCGAGTTCTGTGGATGTATTGTAGTGTCCGCAGTTCCATGCATCACTAATAAGTTTATTCCTTTTCCGGTTGAAGACGGTGACAACGAAGACTCGTTTAATGAAGGATTTAATGGTATTAAGTCTGAACGGTCATATGACATCCAGTTATCTCTATCATTTTCCCCGTAATATCCATAGTAACGTTCAGCAAATGCAGAAGCTATAAAACACCATTGAGATCGTTAATATAATACACTAAACAATAACTGTTAATATACATAAAATATATAATATAGTTACTCACCATATAGGCGCCACGAACACACAGGTGCCATAGTTATAGCACACTTGAACGAAGAGCGAATTGCCACAGGCTCCTTTCTATTTCCTTTGTCACCAGATTCATCACTTTTTTTCTCAATTGGTGCACCACCATAAATGGTTTGCCATAAAGCCATCCGAGCAGCAGCATATCCACCATAGACTGATGGTGGTGTTGAAGGCGATGTTGGTCCACCGCCCAATAACGCTACTTTACTTGCATCTACGTATGGCAACCTTAGTGCCTCAGTGTTTGCTTTTGTGTCACTAGCGCTTCTACGGTCTCTACGACTTCTCTTACTATCGTTGTCCCTGTAAAAATTATCTCCTCGGTTATCATCACTATAGTCACCATTATCTCCGTCATTGCTATAGTAATAATAGTAGTAATCTTCGTTGTCATTTTTGTCGGTGCTGTCATCATATTCTTCGTCATCATCATAATAGTCATCATCATCGCTATAGTACCTTCTATTTGATTGTGAAGTCGGCGAGAACCATCTAGAACGGTCACGGCTACTACTACCTCTTGGGCGATCTTCGCTGTAATATCCCTGACCACTGTCTTTAAAACCATCGCTGGTGGCGGTAGAGCTCGAAAGCAGGTACTCAACTGCTTCCAATTGATCACGAAGGTCAGCAGTACCAAGAAGTCCACCTGGCCCAACATCGTCTTCTCCGCTATCATCTCCATATCCGTCATTGCCATCTCCATAATTTAAAGCCAACAATGACTCATAACCTCGAGCCCATGTCCCTCGTCCTGTATCTATCACAGCCACTACGTACTCATTATTATTCGTATCGTCGTCATTATTTTGATCGTAGTCATAAGAGTCGTCATCGTAGTCGTCTGAATGTCCAGAGGAATAATATCTAGTCGCCGGAGACCGACGATCTCGACGACCTCTCGGCCGCTGACGATCCCATTCATTCCCACTGTATCTTGGGCCTGCTGAACTTCTACCACTAGCACTCGGTAGCGTTCTACCCAATGAACCTGAGCATAGTAATCCTGTAGTATAGCCTAATCGATCAGTAAATCGATCAGTGATAGCCTGTGACCCTGGGTCTGAGTTAACTACCACAAGCATAGGATACAACTTTTTCAAACGATGTTGACGTTGTTTTTTTCGTGGACGTCGTTGTCGTTTTGATCCATCTCCACTATCATCATTGCTATTATGTGCGGAAGATGAAGATGATGACGAGCGTCGTCGACGCCGATGGCTGTGCTTAGTTGAAGAGCTGTCACTGGTTTTAGTGGTTACTTCGTCATTAGTAATATCAATTTTATCAGACTTTCCAGAATTTCTGATATGGTTTGACATGAATTCTGGACGAGGATCAGCCTCAGGATCGTAAACGCCTAATGGTAGATACAATCGGACCTGTGCCACGGTCAGAGGATCTGAATCCGGACGTTTTTTAGTCGAAAAGTGTTGCTGATTGTCTCCACCATTACTATAATAATCAGCTGCTGCAAGTGGATCATTAAAATGTAAGCCTCCTGAAGTGGTCAGTTTCCGACCGCCGGAAAGTCTTAATTGAAAAGTTCTGGTACCTGGTAGCAACACTCGATTCGTGTACTTGTCCTACAAATTCCATGAAAAATGTTACATTAGATTATATACAGTTTTATGAAATAGTTACAAAACATTACCTGTAGACGAGTGTTATTTTCTATAAGAGCAATCAACTCAAAGGAGTAGGAAGAATCTTTAGGCATTTTCTGTGTAGTTAGTGGAACGCTGTCTGGTTCATCATTACTGCCACTACCATCACTGTTGTCTTCAGAATTGTCAATATCATCTAATATGGTTCTATGCAATGTAACATATGGAACTGAAGGACCCAGACACACCAAAGCATAATGGCTACCATCCCTTGAGAACTGGGCATCGAAGTATGTGCAGTGTCTCAACATACCACGATTCTGCAATTCTCGTTGCTGCTGTCGACGATTTCGCTGCTGACGGCGTTCTGCTTCTGCACGGAAATTATAAATCATAAATATCTACGTTATCCGATTAATTAAAATTTAACTTTTTATTATCCATTAGGTATTACCTTCCGCTGTGGCAGCTTCCTCTTCATTGTCTTCTTCTTCTTCCTTTAGATTTTCCCATCGTTCCCGCTGTTGCTGCCTCAACCGACCGTCTCGTGCCTCATCCATTCGGTTCTGTTTTCCACCAAATTCACGACGTTCTCGACGTCTTATGTTGCCGGTAAACCCTATATCACAGCTTAGACATACTGGCCTACTACGGTTGCTATGACGGTAAGTTTTACGGAACTGTTGTTGATGATGGTGCCCCATTCGGTAACCGGCATCAGTATTTACTGTAGTTGAAGATGCTGCAGACGTAAACTTGACTGCATACAAATTACGGTGGTGTGGTGCGCCACGACCAGATGGTACAGCAAGAAAGTAACTATAAAACGTGATGGGAAAAAAAAAATAATAATAAAATAGCTGATGCCTATTAGTTATAATATTAATTTGTTTGTATATGTTATAGTAATGTTTTTATTGGTTATATTTATCGATGTTTTATTTACAAATATGTGATATTAACTTTTTGGAGGATCTCTTACACTAAATAGTGTTAAAAAATATTAGTAAATAAATATTATTGAAAATACAATTAAACCTAGTATACTGAACATGTACATAATAATATGATATATAAATAGATTTCACAAGATTTCATAATTTTCAGGAAATATTAGTGAACTAATTCACTTAAAACTAAATTATTTTTAGAACTGTCCGTTAAGGTTTAGAAATCGTATTTATTAATACCCCACGAGTAAACATGATAAATGACTTACATCATATCAGTTCGTTGGTCCCAAGCCAAAATCCTGACTACCGTCCAACTTTTAGTGACGACTTTGCTTTTTTTTTTGTCTTCTTTGTTCCCATCGTTGTCGTTGTCATCGTCAAATTCACCAAATGTTAGTGGTGCTAAAAGTTTCTTCGTTATATTTACAGCTACAACTTGTGCATAATACTTTCCAATTGATGACTGTGACCTGCTTTTGCCATTTCGGTCGCGTGATGACTGTTTTACGGTCGGTCGTCGGAGACGCACCCCTCCTTCGCTGTCTTGCTCTTCGTTTTCGTCGTGCTCGTCATCGCGTACCGGTGCTACGCTAACGTATCCCTGACCATCCATCGCGAACACCGGCGCTCGCGGTGTCAGTTCCTTGTCACCCGTTTCCCATCCCTTACGAACCAAAGCGGCCATGGCATACACAGCACCAGTCCCAGTGCTACCAAAACCAGCTATGCCAGCGTATCCATCGTCGCCTACGAAGTTTTCTCCCCCATCGTTGATGTTGGGTCCACCTGACCACCATGTGCTGGCCGAGATCATACGGTAGCCGCCATCGCTGACACCACCTCCGGTAGACGGAACTCCACCACCAGCCCCGCCGACAGTGGCATCCACCCAACCACCATATCGTCCTCTCGGAACTTCGTAGCTACCAGAGTTAACGTATCCGTCTCGTCGGCGACGGCTGTGGTGGCCGTTATGCTGATGTTGACCACCATGCTTATGTTGGCCGTGCTGGTGTGGCTGACGGCGACGACGGTGGTCTTCTTTGTTCGACGAAGATGTGTTAGAACTGTGGTTTTTCATTCCATGGACTGCTTCATGTGATGTTTTCTGTGACCCACCACCATTGCGTCTGTACCGACGACGAGCGCGATCACTGTTGAAAGTCTCACTTCCTTGTCCACCTCTTATGCCACTGCCACCGCCAACAGCTCCTACTGCGTTAATCACTTGGGTCTATCACACAAATATCATATTATCTTATAAATACTCTACAGGTAGTATGCATAACAATAACGATATAGCTTTACGACTAGATATTAATTCCGTACCTCCTGACACATCCACATGGGTGATTTGCAGAGAGTCGTCACGCTTGTGTTTTGTGCCCGGTTCAGCCAGACCACGCATACCTCGGCTGCCGAAGCACCTGATTTATCATCGTCCATCTCTAGACTTCCACTTCCACTGCCGATACCTCCATCGTTTACCCATTGAACTGCAGTGAAATAGTAATCGCTGTTTCGTACAAAAATTCATTTATTATTACTGGTCATTCAATTATTAATGATTTATGTTTGTACCACCACTCACTCAGTATATTGGAAAATTGGTGGTGGTGTCAAGGTGCGTATTTTTGGTTGTATTTGCTTATTTTCTAGTTGATCGAGATTTACGATCACCGATAAAGTGACGGCGGGATTTGGTGTGTTAGCCTGGTTACAGAAAATGTATGTTTATTAATTATTAATTATTACCTTATTTACTAATTTGTTTCTAAACTTTTTCTGAAAACTTACGACTTACCTTTGGGTATTTTAGAGTGCGTATATGGGGGTACAAATAATACTCAGATGTGCTGTCGTCTTCCGTTGTACCTGGTGCTTCCTCGGGTTTTGAATTTCGTCTTAAACGCCTCCTGCGTCGTTTTGGTTTTCGCTGCTTAGAATGTTTTTCGGTATCACCATCATCGACGTTGTTATGTTGCCGTCCACCCTTCGTATAAACTGAATACTTGTATTCTCCCACCCGTCGATCATCAAACGTTGCGTACATCAGATATCGCCCCGATGATGGCCATATGGCTGGGGACCTCTTCAATATCTCCACTATATCGATAGGTACAAATGTACGTGAACAATGTTTTTTTGATATTTTCAAAAATATGTCAAGTATAATATCTTACTTTCATATAGATAATCAGCTACTCCGTTGCTCACGATTCCGGCAGCGGTACCCGATCCACCAGACCCAGACGTGGTGATTCGGCGAACTGGGCCGTAAGGCCATGGGTTCCATATCAATTTATTAGACGTTTTGTTGTCTCCGCCATTGTCTTGTTTATCGTTTAGGGATGGAGTGGAAAGAGGAGTATACGAGGAGTTGGTGACATTTGACGTCTGTGAATCTATTGTGACATTATTTTTCAAAATGTTGGTACCCGGGGTAGCTGTCAATTCCAGCGACCACGGCACGTAGTACACATCGTACCGATACACGACGATTAACGCCATAGACTCTACGTTTTTCTCGGTCACAGTCGAAAACTTGTGCCACTGAGCGTGCAGAAAATATGGCTGTAGATCAGCAGAAGTGGTTACGTTTCGGTGATTTCGATGATCTTCCAACGTTATAGGGGTCATTTGCCTACAAAAATAAAAGATTATTATTATATTTTCCTTCACGAATTAAAATTGAATACACTACTTAATAAATATACTTTCAAATTAACTAAATGTGGTCATAAAAAAAGAATTTAAACTTGCAACAAGTATTTTTATTTAAATGTAAGTATAAATAAATATGAAACATCTTTTATCCAGTGTGTGTTAACCAATTATTATTAAATACAAATTAAATCTAGGATTATTTTAAATAATTTAATTTTAACGTAAATTTAAAAACCCTTTTGGCTCCACCATAAATAATAAAGTATGCAACAAGTATTTACTATTTAGGTACAAATATTTAAAAAGGGGAAATATTAAACATCTATTCGAATGATACTAACCTGGTTGACACAGTATAAACCGTATAACGAGCCGTTTTCGAATATCTGAACAACTGTTAGAAAATGGATAGTTAGAAATGTTAATTGTTAATTATTTCGTTTGTAAAAATATTACTTTTTTTGCGTGATGACCTATGAGCACGTGATTACGATCAGGTGATAGTTCGAATGACACTAGCGGACCTTTTAATTTCTGAAAGAAAATTAATTCCCTTTTCATAAAATATCCATTTCTATGCTATTATAATACTATATTATAATACCTGTAACGTTTTTTTGGACATTATGTGGTGAGTAGTCTGCGTAATACCGTCTGCCATAATCTCCATAATGGCCAAGTTACCAGTGCCGGTTACGTAAAATATCTCGGTACCCGAAATCCACGTTCCGTTGAATAATTTTATGTTTGCTGAATCTGACAGTATATCTGATAAACGTAATGTCCTCATACCTCGGTGACGCCACCAAAGTTCATCGTTTGCCCGTTGATTGTAATAGTAGTCCGATCCAGCTCTATCACCGTTCTCCAAGTCTGAATACGAGTCCGACAGTTCTTCTGGTTGAGGCGGAGTCAATAAGACTACAGACGTTACTATCATAGCTAAAACCGCTACGATGACCATCAAAGCGATGAGTATCCCACGCCAGTTTCGTCGTTGTTGGGCTGAACTCATCACAAGATCCTAAAAAAAAAAAAACGATGAAACGGCGAATGCATTTTTTTTTTAAATGAGTATTTTTTTCTGTGAATGGTTTTGGGTGGTACGAATGTTTCATTTTACCTTTGCGATTGATGGTTATTGATTTCTGTCCTAATTTATTGGAGGCTGGGCAAGTCAATGATTTTTTAGCTTAGTTAATATGCAACAACAATAAAAAGGTAAAAGTTAATACACACTTTTTTTTATACAGAGCAGCGCTAGTGTACTTTATTTTTTACCAACTCAAAACTAAGTTATAGACTGTCTATCCTTTACACAGCACTTTCATATAGTATGTATTTCACTGAAGTTTTTTTGTTTCTAAAAAGAGAACAATTGTTGCCTATATTATAAGTTAGATTAAAAAAATATACAATTTTTAAACTTTAAACAATTCACGGTAAATATTTTTTGACAAAATAGACTGTAATAGTTAAATGTGATAAAATTAACTTACTTTTTAAATTAAAAAATGAATTCGTTAATTTCACGTTCATTAGAAAAAAAAACTTAGTAAGTTAATAGGTAAGTTAATGACATTTTAAAACTAACAAGTTAAGTTAAAAAGTTTAAATTAAATTAACTCTTCAACTCGTCAGTTTTAATTCATATGAACTTTGTAACTTAACTAGTTGAATTTAGTGTGTAAAATATTCTAATCTAACTCGTTAGAAAAAAACTAACTACCTAGTTATTATTATTTTTTTTTTTTCATTCTAAAATTCCAAAAGCTGTTCCTCAATCATGACATTATGGCTATATGCCCATATAGATTATATTATTTTCTCTTATATTATATTATTAATTATTATTAGTATTTATAATAATGTACGCATAGGAACCACGGATTTTCAGTTTAGTCTGTAGAATGTTGATATCTACAAGATATAAATAGTATCTATACGGGTGGCTTAACCAATAGTGTAGACACGATGCCGAATTTTAGTGGTAGTGTATCGGTGGTTTACATTTACCCGTTTATCTATTATATTACTATTTAACTATTACAGTATTACCTATATTTAAGATATAATAACCATATTAGGTATATCACAATATCATATAGATTATAATATTATGTATTATTATTTAATATAAATAATTTAGGTTTTCATACTGTAATATATTATTTTTATTTTGTTTCACCCTTTATGTTCTAATAACTGATAAGTGATAAACCAATTAATTTCCAATTAATTTAAATTATTATTTACCTAATTAGAACATTTTGATCAAATTACTAGGGGTTTAATACAATTTTTCAGTTTTAATCAATAATTTAAGTTAGATAACTTAAGTTACTATTTTCACCAAACTAACTTCTAACTAACTAAGTTAAAAATTTAGACAGTTTCAGAAACTAACTTATATTCTATCTTCGTTTTTTTTATTAAAGTAACTTAACTTCAACTAGTTGAAAAAAATGACTAACTTGCCCAGCTTTGAAATTACCTACAGTTATGGGTAATTTTATTTATAGATTGATTTGTAGGTAATTTATGAATTTTCAGTGTGATAGTTTTAATAGGAAAAAATAATGCATGTTGAGATGGGAAGAATTTAAGTGAAATGTAGTTTCAACAAATTCCTAATATATGTTATATTGTTGTTATTCGTGAAAAAATTGGCACTCAAAATGCTTTATACGTCTCACAAATACTCTATTTAATGATAAATAACTACTCGTATAGTTGTATAATATACTACTACTATATATAGGTACCTAATAACTTAATATATTTTATACTATCATAAACCATATAGTCCAAAGGAACGAACTAAAATTATTTTTTATGTTCTTGCTTCCTACTATTAAATAGGTATTACAATTTATTGGCAGTTGTAGCATCTCGCGTATGGGCCATCAACAAACGCATTTGTGTCATACACTCGGCAAATAAATTATTATTTTATCTGTAATTTTAGAATATTACTATTATAATGAAATAATTACTTTAAAGCAAAATGTAGTCAATTCAGTGTGTATATTAGCCTATATTTAGGTGTGTTTATTGTGTTTAACTGTTTAAGTATCTCTCATATTTTGAAGATGGGAAAAATACCTACCCTGGGGGTGCTAATGTTTAAACACAATATTATAATACTAAGTACAGCCAAGTCACGATAACTCGAACCTCGATAACTCGAAAAACTTGACAACTCGAATTGTGTTTTGTTCACATAGAATATCATTCCCCTATACATTAGTTAGATATCTCGAATAATACATAATATTATATCGAAGTGAATTTTTATCCCCCTTCAATTTGAGTTATAGCTACTCAACTGTATTTAATAAGATCTTGTTTAAAAAAAAAATGTAAGTATATTATATTTTCTGACAATAGACATCAAAATTCGAAATAGTCTTAGTCTAGTATATGCGTCATGAGCAATTCTCCTATGATGGTATTAGGTGGACAATTTATATTAATTAATAATGATTCAGAAAATATTATTAATTGATCAATCAAAAAATATTTTATTACATTTTTCGTGGAATTTAAAAGTGATTCGATATCATTTGTCATAACGTAATAACGTTTTTTATTCCTTAATTGCTTCACGATGTTGTTCAAAATTATGGTTTCGTATTTCATCAGTCATAAATCAATATTTTTTAATCAAAAAAATAATTTATATACATATCGAAGACTATACAATAGTATATAATATGTTATTTCCAAGGTTTTTTTTTTATATATTTTTGTGTTATTATTGCATCCACTATAATATTATATTTTGTTAAAACATCAAAACAACGTATTGAGTTTGCAACTTAGAAGTGCAAATTTAATAAAAAAAAATAAAACCAACGAAATAATAAACTCTATTATGTGGAAACAATTTTTTTGAAAAATTCAACGTAGGTAGTTCTTTGCTGACAAGAAATTCACCCTTCAACAGTTGACGGATAAAATATTTTTGTATCGACAAAGCTTTTAACCATTGCATTAGGTAGGTATCCATATATAGTAAGTTGCTGTCACTGCCAGGTGCAGAGAGCGTCGCTTACACAATACGGTTTACGCGAAAATTACTTATTTTCGTAGTGCTATCGATTTTCTACCCATCGCGTCGTCTACAACTACATTTAGCCACATAGGTAAAAATTTACCTACTTGTATAATATTATGTTAATGTATCACCGTTACACGCCATGTCAACAGTATTTCAAAATCATCGCATTTCATTGTCCACATCACATGATATGACATATTATATACTTATTTCTTATGTATATTTTTCCACCCCACCGTCACCGTATCATGTTATCGTATTTTTTAGCCCGTTGTCGTTGACATATATATTTCGTATTTTATTATTGTTATTATTATCAGTGACGGTTTTACGAGTTGCGGTAGTGGGGTCACCCCCTGGCCTGTGTAAATACGCATTAACTCAAATAGTCATCACCCATCATCATGATGGTCATAAAAAGTAAATGTAAATGTTTCACTAAAAACAAATATAATTTGATTTATTGGTATAAAGTGTATAAGTAACACATAAAATTATTTCCCATTTACTTATCAATGGAAAAAAGTGAGATGTGTTATAAGTAAGTGAGTATACATGCAAAATATTTTCACCTCCTATATTCCCCTGAGGCTTGTAAAAAACCACCCCTGATTATTACATAGATCGGAATCATGTATGTATAATGTATAGAATATAAATGTATAATATAGTTACGTTGTACATGCTATTATTCTAAGTTTATACCTAGTACTATAGTGGGCTCGCACAATCCATGATAAGAGTTTGGAAAGTCGGGTACCAAAACTAACTGATTTATTTTTTTTTTTTTTTTTTATTATTTTTATAATTTTTATTTACAATCTGTTACAATAAAAATATGAACAATAAGTAAAATAGATAATTGAATGAATAAGTGGCTTGAGGAAAGGACGGATTTAAGAAGCCTTCCAGTGAAGACACTTTGTAACTGATTTCTTAAATAAACTTTATTTTGGCATATAAATGAATATCTGAACGGTTAAAGCATGTTGTGTCATCAGTGCCGTACACCTGCATATTATCTTGAATATTTTATACAAGTTTCGTAAGAAATCGAATGAACTATCCATAATATATTTAATATAAATTATACGATAAATCGCAATTATGTTGGTAAACCACATAGGTATTTTATTTATTTGATTTGTAAAATAATTACGGTTAGAAAAAATTGTGTGTCTACTATCGTACCTTTCCATATCTAATTATTTATTTATTAGGTAGATAATATAATCGTTCGTTCGTGAGCCCACAGTAATATATGTTTGGAACATAATGAACCCGAATATTGATCGAACTTCAAAAGAAAAGATATAAAAAGTGTCAATAATCACAATAGACATAATTCACCACAACTCACAAGTCGCCAAATTATGTTTATTGTTAAGTAAAGTCAATTATGTTAATTAAGTCGGGAATACGGCCCACCAAATTAAATCAACTGTTAAACGGATTTCCTAGAACAGAAACTAACGTTACTTAACATTCTTTTTATTTTATCGATACACATGCTTCAACGCAATTCTGGTGCAATACCATGCCATTCTAGCATATTCAACACGTTTCTCTATAGTGCTTAACATTAATGATTACCAACGATCACCGGACTCGTGGCTCAGGCATATTATAATATAATTATTAATTATTTTGATAATATACTGTTTTCGTGCGTTTTACCTCGTCGTCGAAATGGTCGCCCATGCCGGGACGTTGTCGGTATTCGGTCGCCATGGCCGCCGATCGGACCGGCGGGCAGCGGTACTGGCCGTCCGCGCTCAACGAATAATATCAATCCAACGAGACGACGCAGCGTCCCGTTTACCCGACGCGGTCAGCATCGTTGTGTTTACGGTCGTTGATTGTGTGCGTCGGTATTTCGGCTCTCGGCTGACGGTGACGCACGACCACGGCGGCGGCACTGTTCGTCGTAATATTCGACAGCACGGCCACTTCGATTCTCTGGCCGAAAAAACCGTGTGCGTCGGATAGAGTGAGAGGGAGACAGACAGACGGAGAGAGAGAGTGAGAGTGAATGAGTGAGAGTGAACGAGTGAGTGAGTGAGTGAGTTATTGTGTGTGTGTGTGTGAGAGAGAGAGAGAGAGAGTGATAACAGGATGCTGCGTGTTTACGCCAGGGGACGTGGAGCGAACGTCGTCGGAGAGGGATGACGAGTGAAAAGCGCACCGCGGCGTACGAATCGAGCGCAGAGCGCCGACGTGACGACGACGCGCCACCGCCGGCGGCGGCGAGCACCCTAAATATAGATTTTATTTCACTGCGCCGTACGCGGTCCTCGCAGCGACAGCGACGCGCGTATACCATCATACCCCCTCGGAGTATGATAATATTATTAGGATTTACTACCTACCTATCCACCTGTAATGCAAATGCTGTCATCGTTGAGTCGTCGTCAGATAAATAGCACCTACTTATTCATACTATTTACCCGTGAAGTTGTATTACAATAATTTTTCGACGGCTTGCATGCCAAAAGTGAATGTCATAAACGCACAATTTAACAAAACATATTGTTGTACATTTTCCAATTTTTTGTCATACCATCTAAAGGTACCAATTAGGTACAGCCCATTACGAGGTATACCAGACTCCAATACAAATTGATGCCATAACGGAAAAGTTTTTTTTTCTCATTCTTATATAATATTTAGACGTACAAGATTTTATGCATGTAGGTTGGCACTAAAAACTGTTAATTTTTTGTTAACTAGGTATTAAAAGTGAAAATAAAATTTAAAAATATAATAATATGCTATGTCTCATTAGAGTGTAAATAAGACATAGGTATATAAAGAATAAAATATGGATTCCCATAGATATAATATTATAACATTATACAGTATGTCCCAAAAGTCCCGTATCACCCTTAATATCTCCATGTAAAATCACTATATTTAAACGCGGTTTTTTTTACAGTACTAAGTATGAAAATTCTGCTTGAATGGCATAAAATTCATTTATTTTTTTCTTTAAATTCAAAAATTTTCAAAAAATTTTTTTACGCATTTAATAATTTAAAATTTTTAAGATAGCCATTTTGTTGAGTATATTTTTTAAAACAGTTCAAAAAAAAAAATACTAAAATTAAATAAAAATTGACCAAGTTAGAGCAAGTTATGTTTTTGAATAATTGTAGTAAAAAAATAAATTATTGTTTCACATTTCAATAATGAAATATCTAATTTCAGCACACGACAATACTTTTACATTCCTAATTTATTTTTTTACTACAATTATTCAAAAACATAACTTGCTCTAACTTGGTCAATTTTTATTTAATTTTAGTATTTTTTTTTTTGAACTGTTTTAAAAAATAAAAAAAATAAAAAATATATAAAAAATTCAGGGCTTGCATCTGAAAAAAAAGTTTTATGTTATTTACAATTAAAACGTTATCCAACTTTTGCGTTTATCGTTATTCAGAATTGAAACGTTATCCAAATGTTGTGTTTATCGTTAGGTATTTAGAACTAAAACGTTATACAAGTTTTGCGTTTATCGTTATTTAAAATAGTGTAAATACCTATTAAATTAAAAAATAATAATAACTAATGCTGGTATAGCTAATGGCCCGGATAAGGAATATAATATAATCAATTCTTAGATTCTTAGATAATTTGCATGAAATAAATGTTTCTACGAAACCAATAGACCTTTTAAATAAATCAATTTTAAAATATTTCGTTTTGAGTTATTATTATAGTTCAATGATATTCTATAAATTACGTTTTGCGTTATGTTTTGTTTAATGATATTATAATATATTTTGTTAATCATTATGTTTTGTTTTGCGGTGTTAAATTATTTTTATTATCACATTCCGTTATAATAACGTTTACAAATGTCAATAGTTTTTTTTTTATCAAATACTTATATGATTGTTATAATCATAACGTTATTATAACGTTTGCAAGCCCTGGTTTAAATCATGTTATAATTTCTAAAAAACAGCTTATTCTGTATAATTAAATTTGGTACCTACCTAACTTAATCCATACAATTTTTATTTTTGTCCGATCCGTGCCGTGCAACCATTTTCATTGTTGAATGTGGATCGGAAGTCCTAAAAGTTTGCCGACCACTGAATTAGAAGAAAATTTATATTATGATAGGTACCATATTAGAACTTGGAAGAGTACTTACCTATTTCAAAGTTGTTTTTTTTTTAGTTTACTTTGCGAAATTAAAAAAATTTAAATCAAGTATTAAAACAGATAATTGGTAACTGAAATAATAAATTACTAACCAATGCCATAATTTCTCAACTACTATAACTAGTCAATATTAAAATTTATAATTTATAATGCCACCGTACTATAATGTTATAGATTTAATTGTTTTGGAACATATTTCTGAACTACCTTTTATATAAAAAAAATACTCCAATTTTCATTACAACTGTATAATAGCATATGATCATATTTTATGACATAAGTGGTGAGGTTGAAAAGAATAAATAAGACTACGTCATTATGTACTCGTATTTTATGTTATAACTTATAATTAGGTTATGGATATAGTTTTGAAAAGCTTTTTATTTAGATGGCCTTAAGGAGTTTAAGAGTTCATAATATCCGTCGATACTACATAAATGCATTTTAAGTACCTATACAATAGAAGGTACCTATAGAAGTAGCCAACGATTCGCATTTGGTTTATTATTGTATGGACTATTTATAATTTGTTTTTTTATTGTAGGTAGTTAAACTTAACATACATTTTAATAAAATATTAATGTCTTTTTAGATTTTGAGCCAAATGATGCAGGCGATGCAGATTATTGGCTTTTATATACCAGCATGGTGTACATTTATTTTATTATATTTTATGTGTCAATTTTTTTGAATATTAACTAACCACTAATTTCATTGAGCAGAATATAACATAACTTCAACCGGAAATCGACTTAATAATAGTAAAAGAAGCGTTAATTTTTTAACTTACACGAATGAATTACGACGCAGTACATATTATGTAAAATATAATATTGTTTAAAGAAAGAAGAGAAATAAAAATTTTCTTTCAGCATAATAAAGATATGAGTATATATGACACAACAAAATATGATAAAATGAAAATCTACCTAAGTATATTAGTTTTCGCCAACAAAAATATTTTAAGATAAACAAATTGTATTTTTAGAGCTGTTATGGTAGGTTAGGTTAGGTTAGGGGAAATTACCTACCTAATTTATATTTCCTCATTATAATATGAGAGATAATTTTATATAAAATGCTTATTTTTACAATGTTTATCGGATAGAATTTTTTCGGCAGTAAAAGTTGTCTACTGTACTATTTATAAATATTCCAGTCAATCAATTTGAAATGAAACACATGTTGTATACTATAATATGAAAGGTATCATAAACTACTTATATCGCCGGGAAATTGGCTCTGGCTAAAGTATGATTAAAATTTTCTATTAACTGCAATAGAAATTGTCACGTGTGAATTTAAAATTAAAATAATTGTTATCACAGCTTCATATTAATTTCTTAATTATAATCAGGGCTTAGCACCCGAATCATTTATTCGGTTTTTGGATTTCGGGTGCTGTATGTAACCGGGTGTTTTAAACAAACGTTTTAATTTTCATAACTGTTATTATTGGGGTTAATATTAGTTGATATGAGTGTTCAGTAGTCTAGAAAAATAACTTTTGAAGGCCAACAAATTGTCAAGCTGAAAAAAAAATATGTAAAATGATGTTATATTTTATCATAAAATATAAATTCCTAACACGAATGCGCAACATTTGTTTTAGACCAAACTCGGTCTTTAATGTACAGCAGCACCACTTGCCTGAAAATTGATGGATGTAAGTTAACTAAAATATTTTTAAATGGCCTATAGGGTCATTGAGCCGTAGATAAGTTAAATAAAATATAAGTTATAATTTCGAGATTTCCGGAAAACTAGTAAACATATCCACGAATTACGATATTTGTTACTAAATTATAATAATGTCGTTTGGGAATGGCAAATAATGTACTAGGTATTAATTATAGGTATTATTATACTTATTAGTTATTAGTATTTGGTATTTTGGTCACGAAGGTCGCTGTTCAGTTTTGTTGAGACCAATATGAGTATAGACTAAATTTTATATATAGGTCTCCCCCGGCTCCCCCCATTGTGAATTTCGGGTCCAAACCCGGGGTGATCGTTTGTGCTTCGTTAGTGCTTCTCATCCCATCATTAGTGCTCCATCCCTTAAAATTGTATTTGAATTTCCTACATGAGGGGGGGGGGTGCTAAGGACATGCTAATTTAGATTTCGAATTTCGGGTCCAAAAATATTTTATTCGTTTATGCTTCGTTAGTGCTTCACTGTGTTCTTCATCCGGTCGTTAGTGCTCTACTCCTTCAAAAATTATTGGCATATCGTACGGGGGGGGGGGGGGGTGCTAGTGAGTGACGTACTAATTCTTTCTAATTCAGCCCCCAAAGTTTTGTCTGAAACTCTTCAACACATTGAGGTAAAAATGATCCTTGGATGCATTGCAGTGAAATCTCGTAGTTTTGAGATTAAATTACTTAAATCTGAGTTTTATATACTACGTAATTATTACGTAAAAAAAATGTTATTAAAATTTCATATTTATGCTAATTTCTGCCAAAAGCTTTAATAGATATAACTATATAAGTATAAAACATTAATTTGTCCATGCGTATATGATTTACCGATATTGAAAAATATCGTAGACAGC